AATTACCACAATTCCCCCATATCGCAAACAAAAAGTTCGTACCATACCACTATATAAATATACCAGGACCGGTCTACAGTTTTGTAATGGGATTGGGGACACTAATATAATCAAAATAAAAGATCGATCTTAAACTTATGTCGACGGGAGCACTTATATATATATATATGTATATAATCGTGTTAGATTTAAAAAAATACTATATTTTTTTTCCAAATTAAGAACGTACAGATTTAATTACGTTGTTATTACTGAAATTTGTTTTTGATATATTATATAATGTCTGAATATGTTTTGTTAGTTTTAATTAATCCTACATCTGTTGGTGTGTTCTCACACTTTACAAGTGATATATATAGAAACAGATGGTCGTTGGATCACAATCTACCTCACTATATCAATCGACATACCCTTTATATATAAAAAATATATAAGTCTATCAAATGGAAATACAAATTTCGTGGTCGATATTTGGTACCTTATGAAAATAGGTGGCCTTTCGTTATTATGTGGTTGTCAATTGTTTTATTGAAGACAACCTCGTGTGGCATTGGCTCTCCTAGCTTCACTAAATGTCTTTATATAAGTTATTCCAACATACATGAAAAGTGTAGCTTTCGTATTTGGAATATGTATTTGATTTGATTCAAGAATTCATGGGGTGATATAATACATATATATATAATATTTCAAATATTTAATTAGTGTTATTTGACCCATTCTCTCGTTTCGATTTATATGATTTTTTTAAAAGTTGAAGTTGTTAATTTTGAATTTTTTTTCATTGTATCGTCTTGTTTTTTCGCTTCTCAGTATGGAAACTATCTTCTTTCGTTTTTTCATACTATAAATGTACGTATTTTTACGTTTTTACGACATGTCAAGGGTCCCAAAATTTCACGTGGGACCGAATGACCTGCGCTGGGTGATTTACATCGTAATGATTGACCAAAGCTGACGCCGTTATTTTCTGTGTTGACTTCAAAGCCTACGTGTCCTAGGTGTCGGGCCCACCATCCGACATCAGCAAACATGGATCTGACGTCATTTCCCGACCATACATATCCAGGTTAGTTTCACGTGATGGATTCTCATAGATTTGGAGTCAGGCCGTCGTGAGCTCCGACTGGGAAGTACTGCCAATTATCATTGTATATTTATATAATCATGGAAAATTTTAAAACTTATATGTTTAAAAGTATCCAATGCACTTTGAACGTGTGGATTTAGTATTCCCATCTGGAGCTTTGATAAAATTTATGTAAATTATTAAGTATGCATATGCATGTATATACACCAAACAGAATGTAGTGGGAGGGATTATACAGTTATTGGACCGACACATTACTTTATTTAAAAAAAATCCACGTCGAAGCTTTTCATTATCGTCCGGATGTCCAACGGATAATTTAAGTACACATGAACAAAATAGAAAAACTCGAAAATTCAAAACTTAAATAGCATAAACAAATATTGCGCGAACTTTCTTGATACCAAACTCAACTATAAAAACAAAATCAAAGTGATTTTTTGTGATGACAAAGTGATACTTGGAAATATTTGTCATGTCGTTTCTTTCCTTTTGAATAGTACAAGTGGCTATAAATAAAACTATATACGAATGGACAGTAGATGAAAGTAGTATGATTAGCTGTACGGTCGGTGACTATTAATTGTTTCAAATAATTTTCTCCTATCGAAATATTGTAAATATTTGGAATCGGAAATTAGGGTTGGGTCCAAAGTCATTACGTGCCGATGCACACGTCCAAATTTCTCGTGTACCACATATATCACGTTACGTACTCTAGACAGGTCGTATTCAACATTATTTCCTCATTAATTTATAAATTTCGTTCGAAATATTTTATTCATTGTATGTTATATTATATGCGTGTGCATGTCTGTGTCTCTGTGCAAGTATACGGACAGATACAAATAATAGCAATTTTTTTATTCTCGAAATGCCACTGTCATGTCATTTAATTCGACTAATGATAGACGATATCTAATTTTCGATAATCATGTTGATTACTCGTATAATCTCATACCGACAGTAAAAAGGTTGTCGCGTCATATTTCTAATCATAAGATTTGGATATCAATCGGATATTTTCTGGATGGTTAAAATAAGTTTTAACTCGTAAATATTTACAGGTTTATTTTTAAAATTATTACTGCGTCCAATATCTAATATATATATATATATATATATATTAGGGTTTC